AGTACCTCACTACATTGTGCTTCAATACAGGGACGAAGTACTCTTCAGGCTTCCTGAATCGGACCGAAACATAGGTCTAGTTGTGATACCGGACAGACTCATAGTTGGGATCGTTCTTCTCAAGACGTCTGAAATACAGCAATCCTGCCACGTTGGCGGAACTTTGAGCCAGGCTACTTTCAATGGCAGCATTCTTGAAGGGTGGCTCAAGCATTCTGTCTACCTCGCTTTGCATATCATTCGCGATGTAGAGAGCATAACACAACATGCCATCATCCACGCGTGGCAGCCCAATTTCCTGATGAGCTTTTCGCCGCTCGATGTAAAACGCAACGATTCGGCGTGCTCTGCTGCGATGAAAGCTGAGAGAAGAAACGTTGCGAACAACAAGCGACGAGTGGAAACCATTGTCTTGCTGGGAGGCATTGGTCTATGGAACTGGTGGGGTATCTCTCTGAAGGAATATATTAACACTGATGTCAACAAGAAACTCAAGAAATGTAAATGATGACGTTCTCTTGCTGTCATTCAACTTCCGATTCAACGACATGGTTTCTTACACGTCTTCACTTTCGTGAAACACAGTGTACACAGTGACGTTCTGTAGCTGTCACTTGCAAAAGCGAAAAAGCAGTTGGGTGTTGACTTAAGCTGCGCCGTCTCAACATCATCTTTTGTCATTTCTTCATCACAGTGACGTTCTGTAGCTGTCACTTGCAAAAGCGAAAAAGCAGTTGGGTGTTGACTTAAGCTGTGCCATCTCAACATCATCGTTTGTCATTTCTTCATCTAATATAGTCTTTCATGTTGTTGCTCTTGTTGGATGCTGCTTTCATGAACGACTCTACCTATACCACTTGTGTGACTGTTCAGCTTCCGGCTTGCTTTGAGATGGTAGCATATCTGATGCTGCTTGAAGCTGCAGTAGAAAAAAAGCCAAAAACAGCCGTCTACACGAACCTCTGGCCAATCGACGTGACCATCCCATCCACATGCTTCAACTTCATTGTGAATGCTCTAACCCCAACGTTACGTGGCGATTTCATCCTTGTGCTTAGCATCCTGGAATAGACAGATCCTTCGAGGCTATGAAGTGTTGTACACACATACTACCCGACTATAGGTCATCGCCAAGCAGAGAACACGCCAACTCTGCAAGTGTCGCCATTAATCAAATCTCCACAAAACGTCGATGCAAAAACCTGCAACAACATCGAGGTCTGGAACGCCTTCAGAAGAGAAATGATGTCACTGACTGAAAGTAATTACACTACCTAGTATCGTCGGGACTATTCAGGTCATTGCAATGTGATGATACCGGCTTCAGTCAGCCAATGGTTTCGATCTCGACGAGGAATTAATCGGTGCGAAATACCAGAAGCAATGGGATCTCTCAACGACGAGTTCGAAGAGAACTTCCATTACACAGGCGGCTTCAGGCCTCTGGAATCGAGCCTCACACGATTTGCTTCAACCCGAAGGTGACATATGTTCCAGCGTACAGTTAACTTACCCCAACAATTGGCAATAATTCATTGTCCTTGGATTCCGGACCACGATGCATCGATCGTTAGTTTCCGGACCCTGCCGCCTGCGGTAGTTGAAGACCAGAGTCGATCTCCCCAGCAGTGCCGTAGGTGTCTTCACTCCGCAGTAGAGAGTTCCGGAGCAAGCGATGAGATCTGCGGCGACCCCGGACCGGCGCGCCCCTGCTGGCCTGCAGGTACTGCACTTTGCGGCGGCGCTGGCCGAGCTGCGGCGGGAAGACGCCGAGCAGAAGGCGGAGGAAGAGGATGAGAAGAAGACGCTGCGGGCCCAGGTGGAACAGCTGCAGCGGCAGGTGGTGCGGCAGCAGCGGCTTCTCGATGTGTACGCGGCTCAAGCGGCCGGCGCAGGTGCTGCCGCCCCACCGTGGATCCGCAGTGTTGCAGTGACGGACTTGCGCAGTGCCCAAGTGGCAGGCGCTGTTCAGACGGTGGTGGTGGGCGGTGGTCACCGGGAAGAGCTGGCGCTGTGCTGCCTGGCACGGTATCTCGTCGCGGAGGAGGAGGAGAAGGACGACGGCGGCAGCAGCGACGTCGAAAGGCACCAGCTTGTGGCGCACAGCCGGATGGGTCTACAGCGGTGGTTCGAGTTGCGTCGCGAGGCGAGGCGCAGCCTGGCTTGGCTGGTGGACGAGGTGGCACGGCGTGTGCCGCAGGTGAACGAGGCAGTACTGGAGGTCAGAGTCAAGTTGCTGGTGGAACGGCTCCGCACCGTCGTGGACTTGCCGAAGTCTGTGTGGTTGGACGACGATGTGGACGAGGCGCTCTGTCTGCTCGCGCACTCCTTGGTTCGCAGTCTTCACTGGCCACGCGGCCGTGCACGCTACCAGTTGTACCGCGCCACGGCCTGGGCCGCGCTGGTCCGTCTGTGCACTCGCGCATACGTCCGCGCCCCCGTCCTCACCACTCTGCTGTGGGGTGTGGCCCGGGCGCACCCGTTGCCGGACCTCACCGCTACTGCGGACCACGACGACGACCCTCTCGTTCCGTGAGATACCGCGCCAAACATCAAGTTGTGTACTGCACGACAAGAGGCCCTACAGGATGATGCCGTCCAGGAACATGGCGGCGGCGAACCGGGTCTCCGGGCACGTCTTCTTGGGCCGGCGTGCTGCAAATGGTTCTACGTTGACAGGCGGACGCTCCCAGCCGGTGAGGTGGGATGTGAGTACAGGGCGGCGGAACTTGCGCTGCGGCGCATGCTGCAGATGCTCGTAGCGGCGACGAGCGGCGTGCAACTCGCGGTTGCTTTCAAATTCACTGCCGATGTTCTGGGCCAACTCCGGAACACGACCTGATGCATTCGATCAGAACAATGGGCTGAACCCTTCGTCAATCGTCCTGCACGCCGGCGTCACTCACCGGCAACACTCTGGACCGCCTGCAGCACCTGGTCCAGCGTGACCGTCTCGGCGGAGGCGCCGGCGAGATGCCGCAGCTCGGCTAGTAGCAGGTCGATTTCAGCAGGCGGCGGCGTATGGCATCGCGATCCAGGCGTAGTTGGCCGTCGCTGGCGGCGGCCGCCTCAAAGCCGGCGCAGACACGCTCCTCGCTCACCTGGGTGAGGTTGGTGGTGTCCCAGAGCGCGGCGCGGAAAGGACACTGATCGCCCAGCATGGTCAAGCCAAAGAACGCCATGTTCACGTTCGTAGGTCGTAGGTCGTGTGCGCAATACCAAAAAGTGCGCCACGGAGTGCGTGGCGAGTAGTTTACGGTAAAACGCCGGGGTTATAGTTTACGGTAAATGCTGAAAGTGCGTGGCGCACTGCGTGAGTTGCACTACGGTCCGACGCAAGTTCGCCGTGTTGGTTCGGTTCACAACGATATTCGTCGAGTGTACGACGCACGACACAAGACGACGACCACCACCACCACCAGGCGGCGGGCGGGCGAGCGAGCGAGACCAACAACGAGGAGGAGGAGGAGGGACGGGTGCTGAGATTGGTCCACCCCTCCACGGTATGCTGCCCCACATCAGGCTGTCGCCTCTGAGCGCGGCTGGTGGGCCCGGCGACCTGCCGGACGCCCTGCCGCCGCGGTCGTCTCTGCTGCTGCGCCACGCGCTGAGCACTCTTTACGCGAGGAGGCACCTGCGCCCGGTGTGGAAGCCTCGAGGTGCTCGCCAACCGGCTCGGTGGGAACAGCCTAGCTGGCGCAGCCAGGACGTCCTGGCCTTGCCGGGCCAGGCGGCGGCGTGTCTGCTGGCGCCATTACACCCGGCGCGGCCATGGGACGTGGTGTTTTGGAAGCAGATGGCAGGGCTGGAGGTGGGCGAGTCGTCGACGCAGGCGGTGGCGCGCCTCACTGGCACCGCTTCTCTCTGGTCGAACTCGGCGGTGCCTCCCTCGCTGGCGCCGCTTGACAAGCTCTCAGAGGAGCGTTCCGGGCCAACCGGGTTGGATGTGGTGCTGCAGGCAGCACATCTGGACGATCCCGCCGAGACGTGGGCAGCGCTCGAGGTGTCCACGTTGGCGTGGGCGTATCCCTGGGGTCGCGCCTCCTGGTTCCACCCCAAGCACGGCTTGGGGCTGTTCGCCGCCGCGCCCATGACCGACTCCTTTCGAGGCCTGACCGCTGTCGAGCGCGCCGTGCTCGCTGAGGAGCTTCTGCTGGGTGGCCGTGTATCTTCGCCCACGCTGCACGCCGGGCTGCAGCTGCTGCCGCTACCTGGGCTGCTGGCTGGCTGGTGTTTGGGTACATCTGGGCCATGGGTGAGTGGATGGGTTGATGTGGATTGCTTGGCAGGCGCTGGACCAATACCCTTGGACCCCCAGCTGGGCGGTGTACAGGCGCGGCTGCCCACCGATCGCTGGGGCGTCGAGACCTTCGAAGCCAAGCTGTTCTACGTCGACTATGAGAAGACCACTCCTTTGGGTCTTGGGCCTCTGCTCACCAATCGTCAGAAGCAGCGTATTGGTACCGAGGTGGGCTTGCAGCTCCTGGACAATGGCCGTTGCTTGTGGGCTTCGTGCTTTCATCATTTGCCGGCCAAGCGGTTCCTGCATCATCCTTGGTTTGAGCATGGGCTGGAACTAGGCGTAGAGTTGGGCGTGAAGCCTTTCTCTTCTTCGTCGTCTTCCTTGGTGGCTGCGTTGAACATCGCGGAGATGTGGCAGTTTTCCCAGCGTCTCTCGGTGAGTATTAGCAGCCTGTGGTGTGGTGAGCGCAAGACCAGATCTAACGGTCCTGAATGAATGATACAGATCACGGTTTACTCTGGATTGGATCGTTGTGGGGTGACGTTGTCGCCGGCGTGGCCCACCAGCGAAGCGGCCGAACTGGTGCTCAGTCTATCGTTATTGTACGATTACACCAAGAATCGTTCTCCGGTAGGTGGACCGGCCCCTCTCCATGGGCAATGGATTGGGCAAAGCAGCAGCGCGTGAAAGCTCATCTCCTTCCCCGCCACCAGCTGCAATTCGGGCTAAGCGCCTGATGCTCTTTCTTTGTTTACCATCAGTGATGCTGCAGCTGCTGCAGAGCGGTATGATCGACCATACAGGAGGCCACCGCCCGGATGTGCTCCATCAAGGCAACGTCCAGCGAACACAGCAGCTGGGCGGTGGCCTTCTGCACCTGGCCAGAAGGCAGGAGCACCCCTGAGAGCACCAGGCGAGACACCGGATGGCCTAGCAGCTCGGCCACCTGCTGGTCGATCGCTGGATCACGAAGCGATTCACAAGGTGAATGACTGAGTGCAAAGCGAAGCTGTTGGCCTGCGGTGAGTTGGAGGCGAAGCTGGAAGCGGCTGGAGAGGATGGCTTGTCGCACCGGGTGGGCGGCCAAGCTCTGATTCAGCAGCAGCAGCTTGGGGCGATGGACCTTGGAGCGCGCCGCAAAGCACATCCAGATCCAATGCTGAGGCTCGTTGTCCTGCTGGATTGTAGGTGGCAGCGGGTATACCTGCACCAGGCGCTGCGTTGGATCCTCGGGATCCATGGTGGTCCAGCTACGCTGCTCCTGTTGTTGTTGCCGGGCCGCACATCGGTTGACCTGCAGCAGGAAGCGTCGTTGGTGCCGAGGATCAGGCAGCAGCAGCGGTTGGAGTCCTTGGCACAGGTCAAGAGCCGTCCATCGTTGGTGATGGGCACTGCCCAGCACCAGGAGCAGCAGCCGTCTGGCCAGATGAACCAAAGAATACCTGAGCGGCGTCGTTGTCGATGATGATGATGATGAAGCGATCCAGAAGGCGGCCAATACGTTGATGCTGGGCTCGACGCGAGCGTTTCGTTCGTTGGGATTGAAGATTAGCTTCCACATGAAGTCGTGTGGATCGATGGCAGGTACCTGGACGGGTGGTGGTGGTGGTGGTGGCGGTGGCCAGGGCTTGGGGCGCACAGAAGAGATGGGACGGGTAGCCCACCTGCAGCGGCAGCAAGGCATGAAAGGCAGCGGCAGGGGACGAAGGGGAGGCAGCAGCAGCGGCCAGCACCAGGTACACCAGCAAGGCGTACGTATCAGAAGAGGCGCCAAAGTCGTTGAGCGAGGAAGGATGGGCAGCGAGCAGCGGGGGCCAGAGGCCTTCAGGCGGCGCCGAACGAGGGTACAGCAGACACATGTGCTGCAGCAGCTGCTGCTGCGGGTGGTGGTGCTGCTGGAGGGAGGCCGGCGTAGGGAAGCGCAAGGTATCGGCGAGGTGAGCGATCTTAGGGGTGGCGCCGCACCAGGCCACACTGCTGCGTAGGCGAGGATCGCCAAGGCGGCGATGCAGGAAGCGTTGTTGGGCGAGCAGGTGCAGCGCCCGAGCGGTGGTGTGCAAGAACGACCACAGCGAAGGCAGGTGCTGCTGCGCCAGCAGCGGTTCACAAGGCTCGTGTAGCAGGGCTACGATCCGGTGGCAAGGAAGAGTATCGGCAGCAGCAGCGGCAGCAAAGGAGGCGCCGAACTGCAGCAGGTGGAGATCATCACCACCGCCTGGGGCTTGGCAGAGAACAGCACGAAGTTCCTGGAAGTAAGGGGCGATCTGCAGAGGATAGAGCCAGGCAGAGGAGTTGGCGGCAGCAGGAGCGGCAGCAGCAGCGGCAGCGGCGAGTTGCAGGTGCAGCAGCACTTCCTAGCGGGTGTGAGCATCACGGCCTTGGCGGAGGTCTGTCAGCGATTGTCGAAGGGAGATATGCTGCTGGTGATGGTGATGGTGATGGCGGTGATCTGAATCATCGGGATGTTGGCCGGGTGAGAGCAGGAGGGCGCGAATGGAGTGATTGGTCTCCAGATGCAGCGGGAGCACCTGAATGTCTTGCTGATCCAAGGAGAAGGAGTGTCCAGGCTCATGTTGTTGTTGTTGTTGTTGGCTCTGCTGCTGCGGCAGGTGCAGCTGGGCGAACAAAGGTGAAGCAGCAGGATGTGGCAGGTGTAGGCGCCAGCTCTGGGCTGGAGACAGCAGCAGCAGGAGGAGGAGCAGCAGCAGCAGCAAGTAACACGACGTGGAAGCGATGAGAGCGGCAGAAAGCTGGAGGTACCAAACACGGAGTGTCGGAAGGTGTGATAGGGTACCGAGGTGCTTGTGGGTTTGTTTCAATTGTCTTTTATGATGGCGGGAGTGTAGGAGATGAAGGGACACGAGACGAATGCCATTTACGAATGGGCGTGAATGCAGCGAGAGGAGGTTCACCTTCTTGGCGTTCTTATAGCAGCGATGGACTTTGATCCCGAGCAGCAGCAGCAGCAGCAGCAGGAGGTTTCTTGGACGATCGAAGACGAGGCATCGTTCGTGCTAGAGCCGCCGAGGAAGATCGCAGGCCTTCGTTTTCTTTGCCTGGAGGACTGGAAATGTCTTGTCGTCGTCGATGTAGAACAGCGGATAATTCATTCCACATGGAGCCTTGGCTGTGATCCATGGAATGTCTTCGTCCGGTGGAGGTGGAGGCGGTTGTTGTTGTTGTTGAGAAGGCACAGGTACTGCCGCCGTAATTGCATTGGCAGGAGGAGGAGGAGCAGCAGCAAGAGGAGGTTGGGCTGAACTTGGAGACGAAACCTTGGAATGGTCCGGAACAGGAATCAAAGCTTGAGACTGCTGCGGCTGCTGAGACGATGAAGCTCGCTCGAAATCCATGGACGAATGCAATTCAACACCACCTTGCGTGTTACGATCGAGACGAAGCCCAACTCGAATCATCGCCATCCCAAACAACGATAAGGATAATGTTGTTCGGAAGAGAACGATGTGTTCTCGTTGAGGTTGCTGGGACGAGGCGGCGGCCGGTGATGACTGCTGGAAGGTCATCACATCTTGATCATCATTATTATCATCAGGCGCAGGTTGAACACCACTACACAACAACAAAGCAGTGCACAAGCGTCGTCTGGCTTGCACCGGGAGTCGATGTTGCTGTTGTTGAAGGTATAAGAGGGTTAATGCTGCCTTGTGTGCTGGCGAGAGTCGTAAGAGCGCTTGATCGAGTGCAGTTACACCTTGGGGATCAATACCTTGCTGCTGCTGCTGCTGCTGGGTGTTGTTGTTCCTGGAGGAAGTGGGATCGGAGAGGTCTTCCATCACGCTCGACGATCGATTGATTGATGAATCGTTGTTGTTGTTGCTCCTGCTGCTGGAATCGTCGTTATTCTTCGTCACGAATAATCACGAGAGATAATACTGAATATAGCAAAAGTCAATTATCAAATTGTACAACTCGTCGTTGGTTGCTGGTTCTATTTGAATCACTTACCAAGTTGTTAACTAGTTACTAGACCAGTACAGTTGACAGTCGTAGCAGGAACTGTAGTAGCAGTTGTCGTGTTGTTGATGAAATGATGATAATGGGTGGATCGACAACAATGCAACAATAACAACAAAACCAGAATAATGTGATAATGACATCCGGGATGATGAATAATTTGCTGCTGCTGGTGCTGATTAATTATTATAGCACGAGAATTGAAAAGGTCTTGATGATGATACGACTACTACTATAAGTAGCAGTAGCGCAGGTATTATTATTACCAGCTGCCTCAGTAGCAGAATAATAACGAAAGCAAGGGCACGCCGATAATAATGAACGAAAGTATTACTACTACTACTATCGTTCGTTCGTTCCTGATGATGATTAACTGCTTGTTATCTATGAACGAAGGTGGAGATTCTCTCTCTCTCTCGCTCTCTCTATCTCTCTCGTGAACCAAGTGGACATGCGAATGAAGCTACACACGGCCCGTTTTGTATCCGAGCACTCTATCTTACTTACCTACTTTTTTTCTCCCTCTCTGTCAGCAGCAGCATTATCTGGTGTGTGGTCAGGAAACGATTTCTTTCTTTCTATCTAAATATGTATCGGTCGTAGAGCGAGTAGGAGAGGAGTAGTTATTTATTGGTAGCAGTATATATTTGTGGCATATTGTTCAGAGACTAGGATGAAAAAAGGACCAAGCAAGTAGCAGGGCTTGCTTCTCGCTCCTTTTACTCCAAACTATTACCGCCGGCTTGATCCAGGAATTGCATCTTGCGCTGGATCGTTTCTTTTAGATGGTCAACCAATACAAACAGTAAGATTCAATGCCAATCTACCATCAACCAACCAAGCAATAACCAACGTACGAGCGTATAGCATTGCCGTTTCTTGCAATCGAACAATGGTTGGAGATTGGGATAACATGGCTTGAGCTCCTTTGATGCGAGTGTCCATCCGCTTAATCGTTTTCTCTTCTTCTTCAAGCTGCTTGGCTTTCTGTGCTTCTCGCTGTGCTTGGGAACGTTTCTGCAGGACATAGAGTCGCAATCTTGGATTAACTTCTGTAAACGAAAATCACGCAGCATTCACATCTACACCAACCTTCAACAATTGTTCGAGCTGCATAGGATCTTGATCCTCCAGTTTCTGGCGCCTCTCCTCTCGAAGCTCGCGAAGATAATCGGTGTACTTGTGTTTCTCTCGAAGTGCTCGCTGTGCTGCTTCTTCTTCTTCGCGTTTCTTGCGTCGTTTCTCTTGACGAGTCAATGGAATTCGAACCAGTTCACGAATGTTCTTGTGTCGCCCAGACGTATCACGAGCCTCGCGAATGTGCTCGGGATGTTACAGCGCTGCGATACGACTACTTAATTCATCCTGTTTCTTGGTGGATACTTTGGGTTTGAACACGTGATGAACCAGTACACCATACTGTTTTCGTCGCATCTGAGTGATCTGGTGTCGTTCTTCTTGTTCCTGAAGATTCGCTCTCAATATCTCATCTTCTCGCCGGGCTGACAGCAACGCTTGGGTTTGTAACTGAGATTTGTTCAACGGTTTCAACTTGGTGTACAAGGCTTTCTTCTCGGCAAGACGCTTCTTCTTCTTCTTCTCAACTTGCTTCTGCTGAATCGCCTCCTCCATCTTCATCTCATGTTCCAGCAACTCGTTCACTCCATACCTTCTCTTCTGTTCCGATCGAGCCTTCAGCAGTCTCAGATCGCGGTCACGAAGCTTCTTGTCTTCCACCGCTTCCATCTCGCGTCGCTGAGCAATTGCTTTACGCCACTGATCGTGTTTTCTTTTCACGAGTTCTTTCGCCCGTTCCAATAACGCCTGTTCTTCCGCTCGTTGCTTCTCACGAACATCTCTCGACTGCAACAACTTTTCCATTCGTTTTTCTTTTTCCTCGAGTTTCTGCTCCTGCAGCTGCTGTTGTGCTGCTTCTTCCAGACTCTCCAAACGCTTCGTCCACCGAATAAACTCCTGACGCAATCCTCGTTCGATCTCCTCTCTTCGGCGTCGCTCGATCTTTCGTTTTCGCTTCGATTCCCGGGTTTCCACTTTCACTTTGTGTCGATACGCCAACAATTCCATGACGCCTTCCTCTTCTTGATCCTGATCGACGCTGACCAATGAGAGCTGCGGTTCCTGCTGCAGCATCGCCTTCTTCTTCTTAGGGCCTAACGCTTGGATCGCCACCGATAACAACCGAGGCTGTTCTTCCTCTTCCGTCTGACGATTGATCTCGATCACAGTGTTCACTGCGTTCAAAAGCCTTGTTCGACGACTATACCGCCTCGATTGCTTTCGTATTCCTCCAATGGCGTGAGGCTCCCGAGGATGATGTTCCCGGAAGCTTGGAAGGTGGTCAGGAAACGAGTCCTGGGCTTCCAGCTCTGATTCTCCTGCCGTACTATTAGGCGCTGCTTCTCGTCCACCTGCGACGCTCTCGTTCTCCTCTTCTCTCGTCGACATTTCTTCTCCTACAACCTTTTCTGAACCATCCAACAAGACTCCATCCTCTTCTTGTCTTCTCGCCCAATTACCTTGAGCTTCAAGAACACCAACAGACGCCCCCTGCTCTGCCTGGGTGGATCCAGCAAAGTTCTGCACTTCACCCCAGGTCTCCTGCACTGCACTGTGAAGAGATTCATCAGATGTCATCTGCGCTGTACTGTCAAGTGGTTCATTAGATATCTCCTGCACTGCACTGTCAAGTGGTTCATTAGATGTCTCTTGCGCTGTACTCTCAAGTGGTTCATCAGATGTCTCTTGCACTGTACTCTCAAGTGGTTCATCAGATGTCTCTTGCACTGCACTGTCCAGTGATTCATTAGATGTCTCTTGCA